GCCCGCCCGCCCGCCCGCGGCCCCGAGGGCGGCCGCCGTGCCTACCAATGTTGGGGAAGAAGGGCTCGGACCGCTGCCGGATCATCGCCTGCATCTGTCTCTGCTGCTGCTGCTCCTGCCTCTCCTGATCCAGAAGATCCTGCAGAAGGAGGGGCTGCTCCTCCAGGAGGAGGGGTCGCTCCCTGCCCTGCTGGGCCATCGGCGAGGTCATCAGCTGCTGGGGCCCGGGCAGGCCACTGGTCCCAGGCTGACTCAGTGGCACCGTTTGGCCGGCAGGTTTCCCAGTCCCAAAACCGTGGCTGACTGCCGGCGGCCCCTGAGCAAAGCCTGGGTTTACTTGCACACCCTGAGGAAAAGCAGCGTTTACCCTGGGGACCATGGTCACTCCGGAATTCAAGTTGCTGTTATCCAAAACCTGCCCGGGCGGTGTTGTCATTGTGGGTGGCACGCCCTGCACACGGCTGGATGGGGAGGTGGGCAGTGTGGGTGCTGGAGACCCTAAGGGCCCCACATCAGAGGTGTCAGGCTTCTCGTGAGCAAGTAAACTGGAGAGAACAGGAGTCGATGCAGTTAGGCTGCAAGAGGTGGCGGCCTCCTCGGCGGGCGGCTGCCCGGGGCAGGGGCCCATGCCCCCGCCACCGCTGGGATCGGGCCTCCTCTCGGAAGGGCCCGCGTCGGCTGGCTGGGAGGATGGCCGCTCGCCCCCACTCCCCTCCACAGGGGCGGGCGCCTGCGAGCAGGGTGCCTCCCCAGAGTCTCTGGCCTCGTCCCCTTTCTCCACGTCCTCTCTGACATCGCCTTTGGAACCGGGAGAGGCTGCTTCAGTTTTTATGTCCCCGCCTGCTGGGGATGTTTTCCACGGCGAGCGTCTCTCGGCGGGTGCCACGGCCTTATCCTCCTGAGCCGTGGCCTCCAGGGCGGCCGGCACGCACTGACTCGGGGGCTTGTCATCGACTGGGACGCCGAGGTCCAGCTCCGCGCTGAACATGCTCTTCTTGTCCTCCAGGTCAAGTTCTGGGTCCGTGTAGGCAATGATGTCAAACTCTCCCGACCGCAGGAGGTCGTCCAGGTTGGGGTCGTTCGTCTCCAGATTGCCCAGAGTGTCCAGCTCATCTCCTTTCCCGTCCTCTGCATCTAAATTTAAATTTTCAAGATCTTCATCGTCCAAGTCTTTGACTTCAACGCCCTCCAGGTCTTTGACATCCAGTTCTTTCACAGAAGGATCGTCTGAATCAAGTTTTTCTTCAAGCCCATCGGCTGCCTGGGCAGCGATCTGTAAATGATCAGACCCTGTTTCAGCCTGTGCGGGGGTGGACAGAGAGGCCTCTGAAAATCCGCCACCAAGGGGCTGACTCGGTGACCGCATGACCATTGCAGACGCGTGAACAGGGCGACCCTGCTGCTGAGGTGATAGCGGCACTGAGTCCATGCCTGGGTGCAGGGGCAGCTGGCCAGGCAGGATGGGGGGAGGTCGTGCCATGGGGTCTGTCAGTCGAGGGCCTGGGAAATCGGGCCTGGAAATGAAGTTCCCGTGTCTTGGATGAGAAGGTGTCTCCAACATACTGCCGGGAGCAGTACCGAAGGGCAGCCGCGGCCTCCCGTCCGGGGCCCGATGCCTGAGCTCAATGAAAGCCTGGCCCAGGATGTTATGCTGCGGCACCGGTAGACTCTGGGGTGGGAAGTGCTGGGCCAGCCCCACCGGATTGCCCATCGGTGTGTTATTTAAAGGCCTGGGCACATCCACAGAAAGTGACCGTCTCAGTTGTGGGGGGACCCCAGAGCCTGGGATTTGCTGAGGAGGCACCAGGAAGCGCTCCTGACTGGACATGGTACCATGACCGCTGCCTGGAAATCCAAATCTAAAAGTAGAAAGCAGAAAACAGTCAAGGTTAAGTATTATGCTGAACTCAGGCGAATACAACGGCCTGCGATCCCCAAGTGCACAAAGCACTTAGAAAGTATCTGTGAATTCTGGGCCCTGCCCGGTGGGCAGCGGACTGGACCACTGTGCTGCGAAGCTAGGCCAAGTCATGGCCGCTTCAGTGTGAATTCGATCCCTGCCCCGGAGGGATCCACATGGCGCAGCCCTCTCCTGTCTCCCTGCTGCTCCCCTCAGCAGTCTACATTGTAGATCTGTCTGTTCTGCTCCCCACTCTGTCTCTGGTGAGGCCTCTCGCCACCCCTGCTCCTCTGGCCTGAACCACAGTTCTGTGAGCGTAAAAAATCAAAAACAAACAAAAGTATTTGTGAATTCTGGGTGAGAGCCCCAAGGCGGACACCACACCTGAGTCTTAACAGGTAACATAAATGACGTCAGCAGAAGTGGTTTAATAAAGCCAACTCGAAACAAGCAGGGTCTGTCTTTCTAGTGTATCTGGGGAGGCCACCTGGAGGAAGTCGACGAGGGGTGCTGGAGTGAGGTGGAACAATCTGTGACGGGCTCGCGGGCCCCTGTCCGTGAGAAAACAAAGGCACAGTCTCCGGGGGCGAGAGAGCAGGTACAGGAGGTGAGGCCGGCCCTGCCGTGGAGAGTGAGTGACTACAAGGCAAATTTCCTTATTCAAGACGGACTTCGTCTGGGAAAAATTAAAGTCGACTTATAAGTAATGGTGAGGCAGAGGGCAGTTATAAGAAAAAGTGAAAATGTGGGTAAGGCTACACCACAGGGTTGCACCTGACTGAAGGCTGATAAAACTGGGCGCGGCCAGAAGGGCGCCTCATCGCCTGGCTCCGGAGGGGCCTGGGCCTCTCTGCTCGCCACTGAAAGAGCCCCCCAACCCCTGGGAAACACCCACAATGACCCTGGATGGCGACTCCGGGGAGGACCCCGCTCACTCCCACAGGCAGGCGGCTTAGCCTGGCACACACAGGCGTCCTGCGGCTGCGCGGTCAAGCTCGGGAGAGGAATGTCCTTAGCGGTGAGCAGTGACACTGACCGCACCTCCAGGGGAATCGTGAGCTGAACGCAGTAAGGGCTGGTTGACTGGAAGCAACTCTGTTTTCACGCCTCACGCCCTGCCTACCGGCAGGCCACCTGGCCCCGTACCTGCCCCCGTGCGGCCTCATGCCCATCCCAGGGACGTCAGCAGGGTACGCTGCGCGCGGGTCCTTCGGGAAAAGGGCGTAGCGAGGTCCCAGAGGAGGCCCGAGGGGTGAGCGCATGCTCCCAGGATAGGGGGGCGGAGGCCGAGTGAAGGGCTGGCCCATGCCCTCGGGCTGCCAGTGCTGCAGCGGCCCTGTGGGGGCCACCGCGGTGGGGTCCAGCGCCCCTTTCTCCTGCCGGCCTGCCATCTTCTTCTGCTGCTGCTGCTGGAGGATGATTTCACGTAACTTCTGCCGCTGAAAAGAAAGAAACAAGTCACTGTGCTGCTCTCTGAGATCACACTGGCTTCGCGTGCCGCTGGCAGCGGTCACGACACCTTGACGTTTTACCTTCTGGTGATTCAACAGGTCACAGAAAATTAACTTGATGGTTTGCCAGACACTACTGTGCAATGAAACACTTGTGCTTAAGGGTCCCCCACATTCACCAACATGAACTCAGCATGACACAGAGGTGTGGACTGACCACTGACCGGTAGTCTCCGCCGTGTGGCGAAGGCTGCCGGAGAGGTGAGAGAGCCGATACCGTACAGAGGGACTGCGGACCGGGCCTTTCTCAGATCACGCTCAGACACTCACCTGCCTCAGCTTCTCCATGTCTGCCTGCGACATGTTCACGGTGTTCTGAGACTCAGAGGCGCCGGGAGCGGGAGCGGGCCCCGGGAGCTGCGGCGTGCTGGGGAACTGCTGGCCCTGAGAGCTCGCTGGGGACTTTGCGGGGGGGCCGAAGGTCCCTGCCGATGCGGGCCGGGGCTGGTCAGTGAGGTCTCGAGCAACCTGGCTTGTTCCAAAGGCTTCGGACGGAGGCCGGGGAGTCACCGGGGGTTGGTCATAGGGATCTCGAGCTGCAGACGGGGAGATGCGACTGAACGTGTCCGGCAGACCAGGTCCTGGGGGCCGAGGGGCCTGGGCACACATGTCGGGTGACCTGCCCGCAGGTCCGGGGACAGCTGCTCCGTGGCTCGCAGCTGCTGGCAGGAAGGAGTCCTGACTCGGCCCTAGCACCGGCCTTGTCAAGGAGGACCGCGTGAAGGCCTCCACCATGCGTGGCCTGGGGGCGGCAGGGGGCTGCGCAAACGGGACCGACACACCTGGCCGGGGCGTCCCAGGGGGGTGGGCATAGGGGTCTGAGTGCCTCTGGGCAGCCGCAGGCGGCACAAACATGTCCGCTGCCGGGGGGGGTCGGGGTGTGGGTGGCTGCTGACTGTACGGATCCACCACCGTGGGCCGAGGGGTGCCAGGAGGCTGTGCGTAAGGGTCTGGGTTGGAGCGAGGTGTTCCTGAGGGCGGGGGGTAAGAGTCAAGGACAGGCCGCGGTGTCCCTGGGGGCTGGGCATATGGGTCCTGAGAGGCTGGCCTGGCCATGGCTCCAGACTGAGAGAAAGCCCTTGAAGGATGGGCGAAAGACTCGCTCATCGCTGGGTGTGGGGTGCCTGGGGGCTGGCTGTAGGGGTCACCTGACTGGCTGTGAGAGAAGGTATCCACAGGTCTTGGTGTCAAAGCAGGCCTATCGTAGGGGTCGAGAGGCAGCCGCCGTGGGGCTGTGCACACCGACCCGTACGGCTCCTGGGAGGGTGGAAGGGGCTGCGTGGGTGTCTTGAAAGCCCCGGGGCCACTGTCCAGAGGCGCGGGCGTGAGCACAGGCCGTGCGTACGGGTCCGGGACGCGTGGCCGCTGAAACACGCCTGTCCTGGGAGGCGGTTTAGCAAAGTGATCACTGCCTCCAGCTGCTGGGGACCCCTTTGCAGTTTGTTCTGGAATGATGGGGGACCGGGGCAGGCCCAAGGGCTTGGGAAACTGCTCTGTCATCACAGGACGGGGAGTGTCTGGGGGTTTTGCGTAGGGGTCCGGGAGGGTGGCGGAGGAGCAGGGGTCCCTGGCTGGGGATGGCCGACCTCCCGCAGACTCGCTTGCTGGAGGGGGCCTGGAGACGGATGACAGAGGTGCACAGTTTTCTACAAGTGCAGAAGTTCTTCTGGAAAAACCGTGACCTGTCGGAGGTGGTCTTGGGGTGCCGACCATTTTTGCGTAAGGATCCATGGGCGATGGTGGCCGGGAGGTGGAAGACCCAGGTGAATACACCTGAGGTGGAGGCGGCTGGGTGGCCTGAGCTGGCACCAGGTTATCCTGGAGGGCTAGCCGGGAGGGAGTGGGGGGCGGTGGGGGTGCCTGTGGCTTTACAAACACGTCATCCGAGGAGGTGGAGGTTGGGGTGGTGGGCAGCGGCTTCGTGAACAGGTCTTTGTGGAATGATTGTGCGGGAGACATGCTTCCGCTGCCCGGCTGAGGGGTCAGTGGGCTCTGAACCCCACTGCTCGGCGTGTCCGACCCAGATGGGGCCACGAGGGGTTGAGCACCGAGGAGCTGCTGCTGCTGCTGCTGCTGCTGCTGCTGCTGCTGCTGCTGCTGTTGCTGCTGTTGCTGCTGCTGCTGCTGCTGCTGTTGCTGCTGCTCATTCTTCACCTGCTCGAGCTTCTGTGTGGCTTCGATCTTAGCCTGCTGCTTACTTTTCTGACGCATTTGCTGTTGAGACAAGGAAGAAAAACCCATCATACATCTGGGAAAAATGCACTGTGAGAGCAGCAAAAATCCCATTGTTCGACGCAGGCACCACCAGACTGCTCCCTGCCAGGGGCAGGTTCCGCTGGGCTGAGGCTGGTGCACCCAGGTGGCGGCCTTGGGCCTCAAGCGGCCGGACAGCTGTCCTTGGGCAGTGGCGGTCACTTCGCTGAGATGGGTCAATGCCGACACTCGAATAACTGTATTTTCAAGTAATGAACCAGCTCTCATCTCAAGCAGAAAAATGCAATTTATGAAAGCAAATAAAAGAAGCCAGATACCTGTCTAAATTTCCATTCCTGCTCATGTTCTGACTCTCGCTGCTTTAAGGGGTCTTTAAAAATATCTGAGTCGATACGAGAACTGGGGTCCACACTGTCCGGCTGCTGCTGCCTTTTCATGGGGTCGCTTGACATTTGCACTTTATTAATACGCAAAGCAGCTCTGTTATCTCTGGCTTTTTGCTTGAAAAGAAAGGAGACAAAAGTTATCTCCCAAAGTATACGAACTTGCTTTAAGAAATAACCACGACGGGACTTCCCCACACCACGAGCAGGAGCGAAGGCCTGGCGCGGCCTGGAGGAGAGTGGCCCCACGCCTGACGGGTGCGCAGAGCCGAGGCGGATGACCGTGAACCCTGCAGTGAGCCCTGGATTTCTTAAGACTTTTGAAAAATGGAAACCTTAACATCGGTGTCAATTTAGAGCCAAGGGGAGCATGACTCAAACGTCCCATCAAAATCGGGGCCACCCCACTGAACACTGAAGACAGTCCCTGTCGTACCTTGACTCCACTCACCCGTCACAAAACAAAACCACTGTCTGCACATTGCTGTTTTCCCCTTTCCGCTTTCTCTGGGCGCTGGTGCCCGCGGCCAACACGGACCGCGCGGCCGACGCGCAAGGCCTGCCTGTCCGCAACGAGGGCAGACTTCACGCTCGAAAATGAAAGGACCAGGCGGTGCTGCCACTGAGGGGTGGCTCTTGGGAGGAAACACTTTTTGCCACGTGGCTTGTGGACTGTAAGACGCCCTGTGACTCCTAGCACGGTCACGCTTTAAGCGCCTCTGAAGGTCTGGTCTAGACAATATGCAACTTCCCAGATACACAGTCTTAATAAAACTCAATACCAAGAGCAGCTCATTGTGGATAAAATGGAGGCACAGATGGCATCCAAGTTTAGAACTCTTGCCAAGAGACAATAATTTTCAGTGATATGAATTAAACATACTCCTAAAATTCCTGATTTCAATCTTTAACATCCCAGTTCTGTTAACTAGCTTAAAATGTCACATATATTAATGAGGTACATTACAGTATGGGTTAGGAAATCTGTATAAAAACAATATTATTTATTAGTCATGCCAAGTCTTAACATATTTTCAGGCAACAGAAACCACCTTATAACCTAAGGCAACAACAATAAGATTTAGAGAGTATGTTTCAAGAGAAGACACAGAAAATTCTTAAATACCACATATGGTGCTCTTTCCTGAGAACTTGCTTTTCTCCACAACTTAGCAATTTGCTTCACTCTAGTCGTCCAGTCTGCAAAGTAAGAACATACGGCACACATTTACTGAGTCTCGCCAAGGATGTGGTTAACAGAAAGGCTGGTGGCCTTGCCGACAGTTTATTTAATGAGTGGCAGTATATTAGCTTCTTCATGCAGTGCAAAATCCATGGCTCACAGTAGGTCAGACATGTAGTTTCTGAAGGATGTTCACTGCTTTTCATCATCTGCCTTGCAGTTGGGAAGTTTTTAAGCAAATTAAGCAGATAAAATTATGACAAGAATATTTCTCTCAGCCTCAGGGGTGCTACCAGAACCAAAGCTGACAGCTTCTTAAGGCATGTTCTAACAGAAGTCTACTTGCTTGGCTAAAGGGAAATAATCTTAACTATAAGAACTTCACTAGGATTTAAGAACATAGAAAAAGAATGATTTCAAACCATATCTTTGAAACTCAGTGTCCACTACAAAACAAGCCTGCATGGCAGGAAAGGTAAATGATAAATAGAAATGATTCAGTCTACTAAAAACAGATTTGAGAAAGTCAATAAAAGTGGAAATCAGTTGGTAAACCAACAACCTTATTACCAAGATGCTTCATGAGATTCTAGAATCACAAAGTCAAAAAGAAAACTTTGGGGGGTGAAAAACCCACAAACTACTGCTCTGCTCTTGGAACCATCTGCACTGACACAAAGTGACTTCTTATGGGCCGCTGTCTCTCTGACAGGGTCTCACAGCACAAAACAAGCTCGAAGAGCCTGCCATTTGCTTTCACACTTCTGCAGACACTGGGCTCCGAATTAAATAAGGTAGCTCCAGACTTCTTTCTATGCGTAAGAAGTACCACCAGGAGACCCACTTTAAAAGGCACAGAAGGCCAGCCTCTCCCTCGTTCAAGACAGCCCTGCCTGCCAGCATGGTGGAGTTGCTGAGCACCAACAGAAGCGACGGAGCGACCCCCTGCCCGGGCACTCTCATGCCAAGCTCACAAAAACCAGCCTGTGCTCACGACTCCTGTGTTAGTGGCATTTCATAAACCCAAGGATTTGATCCTCTGGGGAATGGGGACCTCAGAAACAGCACCACTGTGCTTGCTTCTAGCCGCTTTCCAACAGCCTGGGCAGCGGGGAGGCGGCGATACAGGGAGCAAGGCTGAGGGCTGCCAGCTAGCCCAGCTTGCCGCTTCGCGCCGGGCCTAGGGTTCTCCCCGTAGCTACACTTACAGTGACACACCACTGAGCCCGCACATTCAGAAAGACTGCCAGGCACTGGGACACGGACGTTTCATTGGCTGAAACAGACTCTGGCAAACACCACGTGAGCACAGGGCTGAGGAAACGCACGCCGCTCCAGGCGCACCGGGGCCTCACACGGCGCCTTCACCTTAGGTGCAAATTCACAGGCCTCACGACTCCCCACCTGGCGAAACCACGACCAGGCCAGGCCAGCGGCCTGAGGCGGCCGACAGAAGGTACCGCAGGATACTCACCTGGGAACTCTTCCTTTAGGTTGGGGAAGTTGATGTTCGTGTAGAGAACGGGAGCGACAGTGGCCATTTCGCCCAGAGCCTCCTCCTTCTCCCACTTCAGAGTGCTCCTCTGGGCGCTGGACATGGTGTCGCCCTCGCCCTCCAGGGCGGCGGCAGGTGACACCCACGAGCCGGTGGGGTCACTTGCCATTGGAGTAAACACTGGATTCTTATCCCTGGGAAATAATAGAAACCTTGACTTCACATACACGAAGCAGCGTTCGAAGGTCGAGGTCAAATCCACAATCATCAAAGCCACTTATAGCTCCATGTTTGATGATTTTAGCAAAGACCATAATAAAAATAACAAAGTGGGTCGCACACGCGGTCATGTAAACAGGGCAGGTGACACCTGTAGGGTCACGCCAACGTGTTTCACGTTACATGGACAGTCAAGAGCCTGAAGTACCTGGGGTCCGTGTAAGGGGGCTGTGCTACAGCTGAGAAAGTCCCCAAACCATTTCCAGGAGGCAGAGAGTTATGTGGGAGGTGAGGGCCGGGTCCAATAAGGCCATTCATGAGCGGCATCCGCGAAAAAACATCTTCAAAGAAAAAAAAACAAGGATCCAGTTTGCATATATTCATCAATTAAAAAGCAGCTGAGAAACTGCTGACTAGAAATTCGCAATGTTACTAGCAAGTAGGAATATTAGCTGTAAAGTACTGCATGAAGAGAGAGCCTCTGGTTTTAATGTTCTGAAAAAGGCTCCTGTAATTCCGTGCTAGGTGTGTACTGAAAATGCCTGTGGTCGGAGACGGACAGCTCTGAGGCTCAATCTCAGCTGCTCGTTCCAAGCGGGGTGAGCAACAGTTTCTGTAACTGGTGGGGCCTGGCCATGCGGCGGGGTGACCATGGTCAGCGTTGGAAGGCAGTAACCACACAGTGCCCATCAGCTCTATCAGTAAAATTAGCAAGTGTTATCAAATGTTCTCTTGTGCCGTCACTCAAAATTCACAAAACTTCTTATATTTGACTCTTGTACTTGTTAAGATGAAGAAAAAAAAAAAGAAGACCTTCAATTAGTGCCTTGCCCAGAGTCTGGGGCTGGCACGAGTGAGAGCGCCGTCCACCTGCCTACCTGCAGCTCCAGCCTGAGATGAGCTCTAGCCCGCTCACAAGCTCTAGTGGCCACTATCATCTTCTGTCCAGAGTCAAACGGACCTGTGTTTCCCCATAATTTTCCTCAGGCATAAAACTCCGACCCGATGTGACTGTCTCCTTGTCTAAACTCTCTGGCTGTGAGCCAGCTGCCAATTCAAGCAGTTTGTCAGCAGAAACGCAGACCTCATGCAGGTGCCTTCAAAAAGCCACCCCAAACGCAGCCGTGCCTGCGGTGGTCAGGGCCTGACCTCTCTCTTGATGCCGTCCCCAGAGGAGGGGGCACGGCGCAACAGGCTGCCTCAGGGTCTCGCCCTGCTCCCTGACGGCAGAGTCGGTCCCGGCGTCGAGGCCCGCGCCCACAATGCCCGCTTCCCTCGAGGACAGGGGGTCACTGGCCCTGCTTCCCGACCACACGCTAAACGGAGTGGCGCCGCTGTCCCACCGCCCACGCAACCCCTCCCCCCACTGCAGGCGCGCCTCTGCGCAGGACAGCGGAGGGCCTACCCTGGTTGTGCAAGGTGAGCAGCTGCGGGGCAGGGGCCTGCGGCAAGGGGCTCGGCTGGGGGGCGGCAGGACTGAGCACGGCTGTGAATAAGTCTTCCACATCCTTCCCGCCAAGCTCTGCAAGGTGAGGTTGGAAGGGCAAAGGTCAGACCCTGCCAGGGCCCCAGCACAGGGAATGCTGTTTCCATAAAGTAAAATATCAGGACACAAATAAATACCTGGAATCTTATATAATTTGCCAAGAATCGCTCCTACAGTGAAATGAAGAAATGCAAAGATTAACAACCACAACTTCAACCTCCCGTGCATACACCATTTCTTTGACAGAAAAATGATGAGACGTTAAATTCTAAATGAGCATACAGAAATCTCTGCAAATGCCATTTACTCATGCCTGCAGGCAAGCCCAGATGTAGGCCAGATACTTTACCGTCTGTGACCATTTTGTCTAGTTCGGGGCTGAGGATTCCGTCAAGCTGCTCTTCACTCAGTGGGCGTGAGCTCGAGCCGAGCCCTGGCTGAGGCAGCGCAGAGGGGTCGTCGGCGACAGGCCCGACGTCTATTCCAGCTAAAGAAGCAAGGTTAAGAGGTTAACAGCGAGCACGGAAGCCCACGCTAGCGCATAAGCACAGCGGGGGCAGACGCACGGCAGGGAGGCCGGTGCGCCCCAGTCAGGAGGGGCCGCTCTCGGTGCGCAGCGGGGACCAGGAGTGGCGCGGCGTGGGGAGCCTCGGGTGTCGGCTGTCGAGTGTGCACGTAAGTCACAGGAAGCGACTGCCTGGGAGCAAAAGAACACACCTGGCTCTCAGCTGCTCGTCTGCAGTAAGACAGGAGTCAGCGAGAAGACTGCAGCCTTTTGTACCTATGGAATTGCTTTAACCTGGAAAGCAGCAGTGTTGGTTCTAGTTCCACGGCTGAACGTGATGTGAGAGGCAGAGGCATACGTTTCCCATAAGTTAAGGAAAAGTTCCATAATCGCCACTTAATTTTCATAAGCATTGTCCTTTTGTGAGTCATTACAAGCACAGATCACAGCTGACCATTCAAGCAAGATGTGGCACAGCGTCAGCCCTCCTGAGTCGGCCTTCAGCAAGAGTTCAGAAGCGACCGGCCTCAGGCATCTTTCACGCTTCCTCAGTGTCTTACTATTAAAGAGTAAAGTTGCAGGCTGCTCCTATTTGACCCTGTTTTTGAAATGGACTCTACACTTGGGTAATATTGTAAATACTGACCAAGCAACCACTACTCACAGGAAAATGGACAAGAACTGAGACGCCGCCCGGCCCGGCCCGGCCCCGCCCCCGCTGCGAGCATGGGGAAAGCGGCTGCGGGCCAGCGACAGGGAGCGTGAGGATGAGCAGCATGCACCTAGGGCCGCCGCGCTGGGCCCACTAGAGACTACATCTACTCGGCTACCACCCAGCGCCAGGGTCTTACCAAACGGAAGAGGTGAGCTCTCACCCTGGAAAGTGCATAAATCAAGACCTACAGGACCCAAACCAGAGAGGTGGTTACCACGGCGCGGGTGGGCAGGCCCGCGCCAAAGCAGCAGCAAAGCTGCGTGCCCGTGGAGGCGAAAGCAGCACGCCGCCACCGGCAGGTGCAAGATGTGGCGACTGCACCCTGCCAGCCCCTCCAGAGCAGGACACCGCGGAGAGCCAGGAAGCGAGCCCTGCGACCGTCCAGAAATTGCTCCCCACTCTGGAAAAAGCCTAAAGCTTGCTCCACGCTCACGCACCGCCGCCCCCCGGCCAACGACAAAGAGTCATAGGCAGGCGTGCGTAAATACCTGAGTGATCGACTGACTTTGCAAGGTCATCCGAAATGATTCCAAGAATGTCGTCGTCTGTATTTAAGACTTCGGAGATATCAACCAAAGGGTCGTCAGCAGTACCTATGTATAAAAAAGTATGTACTTTAAGCCTCAACATTTCCTAGATGTTAAATCCTCAAGTCTAGGAGTTAAATTCTCAAGTGCCCTCACGCGACCATTTAGTAAATCTCTGGGCACGGCAGCTGCGGGGTAATCACTAGAACCCCAAGCTGAGACTCTCACTTCCAAAGGAGAGAATATTTCACAGGAAAGGAACTCCGGTATTTTCAGTAACATGTTCAAATATCTTTGCTACTGCACGTGAACAGCAACATTGGAAATAAAGACCTAGGCAACAGAAGTGGGCCTGAACAGGACAAGAAACAACGCCAATAAAGTCGTCACAAGTCATGCCACTTTGTGAAGCACGAACAGCCCGCCGTGCGGACGCAGCAGACTCTAGCGAGCAGGGTGCCGGAGTCCAGCTCTGCTTCGCCCCTGGCCACGTCTGGCCTCCGTGCTCACACTCTCAGAGCACCTGAAACAAGTGACAGATTTCAAAAGCCTAAGAAAAGACATGGGGGTGCCGGTCAGAGGCGGGTCAGGAAGGCCTCCGAAAGCACTGGGCCAGAAGGCGCGGTCTCTCACACTGACGCAGCACCAGCAACCCAACAGGGTAAACCCATGCCCTTCACAGCAACGTGGAAGGAGCTGGATGGGATTGCGCTGACTGGAATAAGCCAGGGGGAAAGGAAAACATGTGCTCTCACTTACAGGAGGGATGTAGAGGAGCCCCATAAGGACTCGGGGGGAAGTAGCTATAAGTCAAAATCAAAATCAGGCAATGACGATACATTCTCCGGGGCGGGGGGGCGGGGGGTGCGGGTGCCACGGGGAAGCGGTCGCTGCACAGAACTGGAGGACGACGTAATGACGACAGCAGAGAGGAAGGACAAGGCCGGGACACGCGTGCGTGGGCGGAGGAGGACTGGCTCAACGCGCACTCCCTCCTGGCCAGGAAGGCCGTGCTCAGACGGGAGGCTGCCGCCCGGAGGCCAGAACGAGGTGGCGGGAAGGGTGAGGCAGTGGGTGGGCAGCAGGGAAGTGCTGGCCGCTGCTGGCCTTTGCAGGCAGTGGGCTCCCAGAGCACGGGGGATGCGCGGGCCGGGAAGGGGCCTGCCCTTGGGCCCAGGAGTGGAGGCGAGCACGAGCGGCTCGGGGCGCTCCGAAAGCAGGACCGGTCTGCGACGTGTTCAGCGGGGAACGTGCTCCAAGGGAAAGTCCAGGAGGACTCTGGCCCAGTCGGGCGGGAAGGAATTTCAGCCTGTTTAGGGTTTGTGTTGAAGTCTTTAAGGAACAGCTTGATGTGTTAAGCCATCTCAAGTGTTGTACTTGTTTAAAATTACGCATTTATTGATGCCTGTTACGTCCCTGCGCACTCAGGAAACCCCCACCAGCACCACCAGACTCCCTCGGGCTCTTCGCTCTTGTTTTCAGCCCTTTCCCCTTCCCTTGCAGAGTGCCCCTTACTCATGGCTGCCTGCTGGTTTTGTTTTGTTTTGTTTTGTTTTAATCTCCATTAAAAAATTTCGCTCCCTCAACTAGAGTGAAAGCTTTTGTTTTTAAAGGTTTATTTATTTATGCAAACAGAAGTGGGCTACAGCCAGAGGTGCGGAGAGTGAGAGGCTTCCCCAGAGACAAAGCAGGGAGCAGACCAGGCAGACTGGCCAAGCACACTGCCGGGGGCAGCAGAGGCCAGGTCAGGAGAGGTACGCCGCGCCCTGGGGGTCACCTTGGGAGCGGGGATTGACTCGGCCAGCCAGCGTGGCTGAGTTTGCAGTGCAGCGCTCCAACCTGCTGTGCCACCAGGGAGGGCCCTGTTTTATTATTTTTATTATCATCACGCTCAGTGAAATAAACCAAGAGGAAAAATGGAAAATATTGAATGGTCTCACTTATAGGAGGAATATAGAGGAATCAAATAAGAGAACAAGTGTTCTTTTAACATGCCGAGCAGGGGAAGCCATAAAATTAAAATGAAGACTGCAGATCCCACGTCAACCCTCTCCATGAGACACAAAGCCAGCAGGTCTCACTGAACACATCATCTTGTCAAACTGAAAGCTAATATAAACTGTTTGCCCAAACAGTCGTAAAACTCTAACAGTTCACCTAGAAGTAGATTACTCTGAGTGCTCATTTGCAGGGTCATCTACTGTGACTGGTTTAAAGAAACAGACCTCTACTGCACACATTTAAACAAAATTTTTAAAAGACCACTGTAAAACTTAGCCCCTAACCTCAAGCAAGTCATTTTATATCTTATCAACCAATCATTAAAACTCCTGTATGAGGGGCCCTCCCTGGTGGTGCAGCACTGAGAAGCTAAAGTAACTTCAGCACCAGTTCAATCCCCACCCCAGAGGTGACCCCCATGGCACAGCAGGTCTCTCCTGACCGGCCCGCCTGCTGCTCCCCTCAGCAGTGTACTTAGTCGGCCTATTCTACTCCCCACTCTGTCTCTGGTGAATCCTCTCACCACCCCGGCACCTCTGGCCTGTGCCCCAGTTCTGTATGCATAAATAAATAAGTCTTATAAAAAAAAAAAAAGATGAGTATTTAAAAAAAAAACTGTTGTATGAAAGAAAGACAAATACCCAAGCAAGTCCACAGGGGGAAAATTCATATGGTTTCACTCATTGCAGGAGTATAAAGGACCAGGGGAGAAAATAGTAATAATGAACAGCTATAGACCAGCGACATTTTACGGGGGTGGAGTGGGGAATGGGATTAAAAATGGGGGTCGGGGGGAAGGTGATGGCACACGGGTGATTTGGTGATGGGAGCCCACGGGGATTGCAACTGAGATGGAAAAAGGCACAAAATGATGTGAAAATAAACTATTATACTTAAAAAAAAAATAATGTAAAAAAAACTGTTATATGAAAGAAATGTACTGACTGGAATGTCAGAATGCCAGAAAGCCATCACTGACACATCCCCGCTATGAAGGCCAAAGCAGGAGAGGCAGAAGGCGGCTAGGCACGGGCGGCTTGGTGGAGGGAAGGAAAAACAACAGATTTTGGAAAGAAAGGCAACAAGTGTGCTCCGCCTGCAAAGGACACTGCAGCTTCATCTTTAAAGCTCCTTCAGCAGGTTTGTGGAAAAAATGACTTCAAATAAAGGAAGAAGGAGTCAAAGTCTACAATGTCTTTCTCCTCTCACAATGTGTCTCTTGTCCAATTTCAGTTTCCCTCTTACAAAATACTCAAGTGCGAGTAACTCCTGTAAGTCTCCCCTCGGCTGGCCAGGCCTGTGAGACGCCTCCTTCGGACAGCGCCCCCCGAAGGCCCAGGCTCTAATGCAGTCACGCTCACGCGGCCCAGGGCGCAGCCCCCTCCACAGCAGCCTCGAGGGACAACGTGGTGAGGCCCCAGCCTCAACAGAGCCCCACAGCGGGGCTGGGCTGGGCTCCCTCGCTGCTCACACACACCATGGGCAAGACCTTAGCCCTTAAGTTGAGGAAAAATAAAGCAGGGTCTCAATCCAGGCTCAGGCCAGGTAAGCGGAGCGCTAAGCAGCTCAGACCCCGTGAGGCCACCTTGGAGTGGAAAGCTGGCGTATTTCCTCATGATTTCGCAAAACTAACAAATCTAGTAACAAATCTAGTCAAAGGTGAAAAGACAGTGTGCCAGAAAAGCACTCATGAAATGGAGAAAAGGCCTGGCTCCTGAGGGCTGCGTCACCGGGCTGATGGCAGCCGAGCTTCCCCACTTCGCCAACAGCCAAGCCCTCAAGCGCTCTTCCTGGCCAGTCCCTGCCTGCGCGGCCTCCAGGCCAGCGGCCCACATTGGGGCGACCCTGCGCCAGCGGGTCTGGCTCTCTCTGGAAACACAGCAGGCCGCGGTGACAAGCCAAGGAGAGGCCCCAGAGGCAGGCGCCTAGCCCTCCCGGCACTCCCGCTCTCCCACTCTTCAGTTCCGCTTTTGAGTCCCTATGTCGTGAACCAAAATCTACCTCGCGTTAAAGGTGCTGAGCCTCCTCATCACCACTACAGCCAAACCACCCTCGCTTGCCTGACCCTCAGGAAGCGCACTCCAAGCGTTTCCTCTGCAGCTGTGGGCGCGGGCTGGCAACACGGACGAGTGCACACACCCCAGCTCACACGTGTACCCGCTGAAAGCACCTGGGGTGGCTGAGCGCCATCATTCAGCAGAGCTGGTGTTACAGACACGGGAGGTCAAACAAGAGCAGTGAAGGCTGGTGACGAGGAGGATGAGCCCCACACGGCAGAGACCCCACGCACCTTGAGCTCCAGGCTTTGCCGGGGCGGCAGAAGAGCTGAGCAGCGGCTCTAGGGGCGGGCCGCAGAAGTCGGTGTTCAGGCCTGTTTTATATGGAAGCCGAGACGCGTCTTCTGCTAGATTATCTAAGCTGAGCTTGTTCTGTCTACTTGTATCGAGAAGGTCTTTTCCAAAAAAAGCTTCCTAAAGATAAGCATATTTTAAGAGGATCAATTTAGATATAAAATTCTAAAATAACAACAGACACTTCTAGCATCATCTTTGATAGGCAGGAGGGACAAAACAGCGTGGCATGTACAATACCCGAGTTGAGTTTTAGAAATACATAAGCAATAGAGACACATCCTGTCAATTTTTTAATGCAAATTCCCCTTATTTTAAAAATAAGATAAAAAATTTTAACTTTACTAAACACAAATGAATTTTGCAAATAAAAAACCCACATAATTGTTGTTTCTAGTGACAGCAGAATAAAGAACTCCAGATATACACAATTAAAAACTGATACATTTACAGTGTTATTGGCACCTTAATGCACCTTGTAAGAAAAACTAAAACTCATGAATATTAATAACTACAGATGACTCGCAGCGGGCAGCCTGGGGCTGAGCTACGGCTTTAGTATTCATGTATTTTCGGCAGATTTACCGATTTCACAGCAATCCACTTAGCCACATTAGAGACTGAACACGTGTCGGTCCGAAAGAGGGTTGAACAGTCTTTACCATATTACACGGGCAAAAATGTGCTGCTACAGGAGGCCCTTGGCTTTTTGTTCAGGTACTCGTGTTGAGAGCTCTTCAGGCCAGCATCCTCTCTGAGCTGCAGAGACTGGCACTGCAGGGGGCCTTACAGCTCGAGTGCGCCTGAGACTTCCCGAGGACCAGACAAGGACAAGGGCCAGCCCGGGGCCCTCTCACCTCCGTCGACCCAGCAGCCCCACTGAGTCTACTTGCTACAGGCTTCGGCAGCAGCTGCCCAGTTAAGGCATTCTTGTCAAAGAAAACAACAAGGTGTGAGCATGTGTTCTAACATTGCAGCGTGCACACGGCCTCAGGTCTAGTCCAAGGCAGGCGAGCGGGGAAATCACAGACTGCCACACAATAAAATACGAGCACTAATCTCGGATTCTGGAATACAGCATAGAAGGGAAACAAGCTGGTGCGCCCAGAAGGCGAGACACAGAACCCCCAGCAGACCGCGGCTAGTGCAGAGGCGGTGTTTCCGAAGGCCCTAAAGCGACACAGGCCGAGCTGCTGGCAATGCCGGCCCTGCGGAGGAGCAGGGTGGAGAGGAGGGCAGAGACGAAGTCGAGTTTGACTTGACCTGTTCCCCATTTTTAGTGGATGCCTGGGACGAGCTGGGCACCACAGGATGCAATGCGGAGGACACAGCCCTCACAGCAATGCCGCTGTCTTCGGGAGCCGGGGGAGCGCCAAGATCGCTCGCTCACTGTCTTCAGCATGAATTCGAGACATCTAAGACCACGTGAGCAAGAATTTTTCTTTCGATGGTCCAGGCGCTCTTCAGAGGGAGAACGCAGTTCGAGCGGTGTCCTCCTCGCTCCTCGAGAGCCCACTGACGCCCGCGCTCACGCACAAGAGCATCGCCACGTGTTTCTAGTGGCCCATGTGGCAGCACCCCCAAGAACCACCTGCAGACGACGGCACTCGCGGGCTCTCACGGGCAGCAGAGGTACAAACATTCTACTGTCGGGAGGATGATCTTAGCAGATGCTGCTGTGGCCAGTGAAAGGACAACTGCTCAAAGTCTGTCACTGAGTGGCGTGGGAGCAGTCACGACCTCCGCTGCCAGTGTGGGAAACTGCACGCGATGGGCAGATGCCACGAGACAGCGCTGCAAGGAGGCGCCCTCTGGCACAGGCGCAGACTCATGCGGCCTCAGCGCGCTCAGGAAGCCCACCCGTCTGCCCCACGGTGGCCCTGGCCAAGCATGAAATGGCCACTAACAGCTACCCCCCTCCGAGACATAGGCCACTGCGCAGGAGGGTCCCAGGGAGCAGCAGAGGAGGGCGCGCCCCAGGCACCCTCTCGACCATCCCAGAAGGGCCCACTAGGAGAAAGTGGAAGGCAGAGTAGGAGGAGACCGGCAAGATGCATTAAGGAAAATACAAACGACAAATGGTCTGTCTCCTGACCCATAAAATTACTGTCACAAGCTAGAAAAGCGAAGAACAGGAGCAGAAAACGGAGGCACAAGACTGCATGCACCAGCGCGGGGTTCCTACGCCCTCTCAGGACAGTTTCCGTGCAGCAAGTGTGGCCACAACTTCAGGAAGAAAAACCTGAGTCAGAGAGATGTTAAAAATGAGAGGTAGACGGCAGCAGACAGGCCGCCGACGTCCTGGGCCTCCACCCCCCAGCCTACAGGAGCTGGAGGGCCCTGAGCGCGTGACCCTGTGCTCGGATATCTGGTTTTTATGCTCCTTACTAGTAAAAAAAGAATACTGAGAGAAGCTGGTGTTAACTGAAATTGCATTACAACCAACTGTACCAGCAATACACGGAGAAATGGCCAAAGCCCCCCCAGGCCCAGGGAAGCCACGGCAAGGCATTTCCACAGGCCTCAGAGAGCCAGAGCAGAGACGCCGCCACGGAGAGACGGGCGGCTGCCTGGGGACCGTCTGCCCCAGCTGCTTCCCACACCCAGTAGCAGAGGCCCCTCAGGGGAAGCTTCGCGGTGGGGCTGCTGGCCCGAGCTCGGTGTCTGCCACAGGGCTCTCTCCACTCCACCCTGTGCCTCTGAACGCTCCTCTCCGGGGCCTAATGTGTATAGTGAGCCAGAAAGATTTGTATTTTCACGTCCTCTGTGTCTATCAAATTTGGTGATCTCCTATCTTTCTGGGGTCTGAGAAAACAAAGCCAACTGTGCTTACATCTTCGGTTCACTGGGTCCCTGAAAGCAGAGGGTAATCACTGGGAAAGCCAACAGTGGGGGGAGGAGAGTGGGGTGGAAGGGCCGAAACCCCTCTCCGCTGGGAGCCCCAGGGCTGCCCAGCCGCACAGGCCTGCCCGGAGCCATGGAGAGTGCAGGAGATGGGGTGGAAAAGCCTCGCAGCCAGGTGTCCTTGCAGGTCTCAGGGGATATTCGGAAGTGAAAGCTGAGATAAGAGCTTGGGGTTAGGATCAAAGCACAAAAATGATGCATTCATTTTAAGAGTCCTGAAAGGTCAAAGTGACATTTTTGACAACTATTTAAAAACAAGTACAATAACAATAAAAAATAACAAGCTTGCTTTGCAAAATTCAACACATTATACTTCTTACGTGACCAAAGTATGTAATACAATCTAATGCAAAATAGCACCTGTAAGTAGGCAGGGAACGTTTCCTCAAGCTTATTTTTCCTTTTGCGGTATCGCTTCTTTATTTTTTCAGTGTTCTCAGTGATAGAAACAGGTTCATCAACTAAAGCATCTGGCAACTGCTCACTCCAGCCTGCAAAAAAAGTCACATTCATGAGTTCATGGCCCTGAAAAAGCTCAGAAAGTCCCACCCATAGTAATGTTCTACACACACACACACACACAAACACACCCACCCACACACACGCGCGCGCGCGCTCTACATAAGCAAACGCGCCTTCTCTTCTACCAGCTCTACTGGGATGTGAGCGACATCAGCGGGCCCAACACAAAGCTGAGCAGCACGAAGACAAGCCCAGCCTCTCCCACAGAGACGGCCCGAAAGCAGCTGACCCGCGAGTGTGAGCGCCAGCTCAGTCCACTCGTGGCCACCTCCACAGCGCTGCACACAGCCTGCTGACAACTGCCCTATGAAGCAGAATGTTTTTTTCTTAATCTTCACATTTTATTACAGATTTAAAAAATGAAAAGACCCAGCACTTACAATTATCTGGCAGGCTGCCTGACCAGGACTACAGGGAAAGTCAGTGGCCACAATCTTATTCTAGGCGTGACCGGGAGCATCCAAGAAAGGCCTATGTAAAAGGTGTCTCTCACAATCCACCCACTTCCAACATGGTCATGCACTGCAAGCTCATAGGCGCCTCACACACACCGGGGTTACAGGAATGCCTGAGCACCCTTGTAAATGTGCTACCAGTGGGTGATCTTAAATGCAGTGAAAATGAAATCCCGAAGCGATGAGCAAGCCGCAAGCCCACCACTTAAGCAGGCTGGGGGGGCAAGGCTGCTCTCTCCTGCACAGGGGCCCGAGGACAGGACGCCCCCCCACCGCCCCCACAGCCTTGGAGTGGCAGGTGCAGGACCTGAGAAATGAGCAGGAATGTGAGGTGATGCTCCTGCAACAAGCTCTGTCAGGCGGCCAGCAATCTACAGTAATCCAGTAATCTGGCCAGAAAACAATCCTCAAAGACCAGAACCAGCAAAGTGGGGACATTCGGCTCAAGTCCACTGCCCCGAGTCTGTGTTTTCAGGGGCTTCCGAGAGAGCCGCGGCCAGACACCCAGACTCCCCGGCCCCGGGCGCTCCTGCAAGCACAGTGGCTCCACACTCCGAGCTGGCTAGACAAGAGACAGAGCTGGAGGGCACCCCTCCCCCAGGGGTCTCTGGCCCCAACCCCCGCCCCTTTCCATGACTAGCAAACTGCGTCTTTATCTCGTCATGGAATTTGGTGCTAGGTAGAATGGCAAAATATTCAAAAAATTGAAAGCTCGCCCAAGAGTTCAGACTGAATTTAAATAGAAGTGGCAACCCCAAGCCAAGAGTGGAGCACAGATCCTGGCAGCTTGTTCCTTGCCTTTCCAACAAGGCAAACACTCTTCCATTCAGCCCTCAAAACACTTAAAGAACGTTCTAAAGAATAAGAGTTCGCACTAAAAAGAATTTTAACATGTACGCTTGTAGGGGTCTCACACAAACACAAGCCGCGAGACGCAGAGGGCAGCCAGCTGTGCAGTCAATTAGAAGAAACACGAAGAAACAAGAGGCAACGGAAGCCAGAGGATTACGCTGTGAAGAGAAATGCCCAGGGCCCTGAAGTATCAAAAGGGCAGGTTAGGTGAGGCTGCACACGGCACTCAGAAGCTCAGCGGTGACTCTGGGTGACACGGTGCAAGGGCAGAACGCAGACCGCGCGGAAAAGCGAGCAACAGCCTGCAGGTAAAAAGGAGCCGCAGAGCCCGGGCCCCGCAGGCGCCAGCAAGTGGAAGGACGAGAGAATCCTTGGAAGATGTTACTCAGAAGTTTTAGAAAACGCCATTTTGTTCTGGTGAGAACTGTCCGAACACCTGCCCTAAGTGACATCGTCCCTAAACTGCCCACGTCACACGGGAGCAAAGACCTGCGAGTCTGCCGGCTCAGGCCCCCGCCCGCCTCCGCGAAGCAGCAGCAGCACGGGCGGGGGGCGGGCCGCGCTCCTGCAGGCAGGCCACAGGCGTGGCGTCCCCCAACCAGGGCCGTACCGTCGTCTCTGCCGGGCAGCTGCTCAGACATGGAGCCCGAGGAATCTTTTCTCATCACAGATCTCTTGGTTTTCCCTTGCCCCGTTCGACTTCTTTGCCGAACCATAAATCCACCGATACCTGCCCAAAAGAGAGGCTGTGTTAACGTCAGAAACAACATCGTGAACCACGGGCTGGTGAACATCATCACCACAGTTTTACGCAGTGGAAGTCTGGAATGAGGAAGCCAGTGTCCAGCTGCTGCTCCTCTCTCACTGGCCAGACAGGGCCGCTGCCAACGCAGCACGGCGCACGCCCTCTCCGAGCAG